TTCGGCCCTCGAGTAGGGACAGTTGTTTGCCAAGCCCTGCTGCAGGCACTGAGGCAATTTTGAGAGAGCAGCAACTTCTGAAGCCTGTCTGTGTTGACGGACTTCAGTGCAGCTAACTTTCCTTGTAGTAGCTTTGGTCTCCCCGCTCCCCCGTTCCAAATCACCTCTTGCAGAGAGAGGGCGGTTTGGGGCTCGAAGCACACTGTGTGCAGACAACTTAAAAATCTAGCCAGAATATCAGCGCTTCGGAAATGTAAGGGAAGCCTTCACGTGTGTGCAAAGACGGTGCAAAGTCCAGGGACGTGAGAAGTCAGCTGCTGCTTTTGCGAGACTCTGTGCTTGAACACCCATGACTGGTGCTTGGGTGTTTTTTGTTTTTTATTTTAACAGTGGGCTCTCTCCAGTGGCTCGCGGTAGGCCAAGGCCTCATTAACTCCTCTTTCTCCAGAGTGAACAACGGAGGCTTTGGCAGAGCACACCTGGAATGCCTTAGCTACCTAATCCCGTTGGTTTAGGTTTGGCTTCCACAAGGAATTGGCAACTGAGATGGAGAAGTAGAAAATTCAGACTTCTCTTCTTGCCGCTGTTGGAAGCCTGCTTAAGAGCCCTTTGCCTGGGAGAGGTCAGGTGGGGATAGTGAAGGAGGGCAGAATTCATGGGATTAAGGGCTAGGCTGGGGCCAATAGGGAAGCCCCTTTGGGGTGGAACTGAGCCTGCAGGCTGCCAGTTGCTTACCCCCCACACCAGGACCCCATGGAGTTTGATGTCTGTGACCAGTGTATGTAACTCTATCTGAACCCCCACCCCCTGTGCAATCTCTGAAGAACAACCGACTGGTTTCTTGGTGCTTAGATCTTTTGGGTTTGCAAAGGGGATCTTTTTTAAACAAAATAAAATACACTCTTCCAACTGTGAAAACCTGGTCCGTGAGAGCTGCTACAGTCTTTGTTTTCACAAAGGGTGGGCCAGTCGTAGGAGCCATACAGGAAAATACCTGGTGCTCGGAAATTCCCGGCCTGCTCTGAATATGTCGTGGGTAAATTCTGTATTCCGGAACTTTAAAAAGAAATCATGCTGTCGAGTGAGCCTCAGTGCTGTGTTAAGAGATTCAAACAATAAAACTGCAGAAAAAGTGGCCGTTTGGAGTGGACTGAATGCCTTGCGCTAAGCACGGACTTGCAAAGGGCCGGGCACTCCCCAGACTTTGTGGGCTGGGGCAGTCGGTGTCCCGCCAAGGGAGCCAGATCGACCCTTGAGAAAAATGAAGCTGCTAGTTAGATTCATCACCCTTCCGTGCCTCTAGCAGGGAAAGGGGTTCTATTGGTTGCCTTCCCTCTCCCTAGATTTGGGTGGTGACTTTCTTCCCCAAGGGCTGTCAGAGTGCACTGGTATTTCCTAATGTGGTGTGCCCTTGGGGGGGGCAGGGGGGAGCATTGTTATTGCCCAGGAAGCACCAGCCCCTGGCCTGGAAAGCGCTGTCAGCCAGGCTATACTGCAAGGAAGCTGACGAAGAAAATGCGACCGCATCCCAGTGGAGAGACCTCTGCTTGTGACCCAGAAATAAGCTGCTCTCTGAAATCAAAGCCGGCCCGGAGTGATCTGCCGGGCGACAGAAACTGTTTTGATCCGGGCTTGGCAGTCGGTGGGGTGGGGGCTACTTTCCACATGACCCACTGGGAGCACATCCTGCCTTTCTCTTAACCCTCCCCACGTTTGTCGATCAGTTTGTGCATTTGCCGTGGGACAAAACCAGAACCCCGTGTGTCCCTTTTAAGGCAAGGGTCTCTCCGACCTTGTCGAGCCTGGGGACACCTTTTGAATTCTGGCAGCGTGTCGCGTGTGCACAAAGTGGCTGCCGCAGAAGGCGGGGCCGGCCACAAAAATGGCTGCCAGGGCCAGTTCTCCCTCTAGTCCAGTGATGGCGAACTATTTAGAGACCGAGTGCCCAAACCGCGACCCAAAACCCACTTATTTATCGCAAAGTGCCAACACAGCAATTTAACCTGAATACTGAGGTTTTACTTCAGAAAAAACAACTCATACATTGACTTAAGATGATCCAAACGAAGTAAGGAAAGCAATCCCTTAAAATTATTTGGCAGAGAATTCAACACTTTAACGATGGTCTGGGCTTGGTTGGGGCGATGGCACGGGTGCCCACATAGAGGGCTCTGAGTGCCACCTCTGGCACCCGTGCCATAGGTTCGCCACCACTGCTCTAAGCTGTGGAGTCTGGTGAGCAAAAATCCTACTTTGTGAGCTACTGGCATTAAAGTCGTGAGTGAATGATTTGGCTACTGCATAAGTTTCCTCTCTGGAGCCATCCTTTCCTGAGCTAAGACAAAAATCTGTGAGCCAGGGGCTCAAAAATGGTGAGCTAGCTCACACTAACTCAGCTTAGAGGGAACACTGGGCCAGGGCTCACCTTCAGGCACACAGTGAAGATCCCCGTGTTGTGGCGGCAGCTGCTGCCAAAGCAACCTTTTTTAGAAATCTGAGCCGATGAAATCTCCCATGGTCGAGCAGAAGCTTGCGAGGCAAAAGCCCCGCCTTGTCTCACCCACTTTCTAAAAACACTTGGTGAGCGCCAGGAATGATGTTGACGTGGGCAAGGACCTTCACTCCGTGACTGAAGAGAAGCTGCGGTAGCCATTTTGTGGCTGGCTCTGCCTCCTGTGGCGGCCATTTTGCGGCAACCGTTCTTGGGGCTGCGCTCGACACTCTGTGTCAGAACGCCAAAGGTTCCTGCAGGCTCTAAAAGGTTGGGGACCCCAATGTAGTCCTCCGTGGGTAGTAGGAATGCTCAGACATTGGGATAGAGGCCTGCGGAGGTGGAGTGGCTTGCAGAAGCAGGTACATAAAATCTGACTTTGAAGGGATTCTGTCCCTAAGGCACAAGTACCGTGTTTCCCCGAAAATAAGACACTGTCTTATATTTATTTTTTCTCAAGAAGACACACTAGGCCTTATACCACAAATGCATAGAAATCCTGTTAGGGCTTATTTTTGGGGTAGGTCTTATTTTCGGGGGAACAGGGTAGGATTGCCCGCTCCGGGTTTTGAAATACTGGGATGTTTTGAGGGTGGAGCCCTGGGAGGGCGGGGCTTAGGGAGGGGGAGGGACTTTGGCAGGGTAGAATGCCATAGAGTCCACCCTCCAGAGCAGCCATTTTCTCCAGGGGAACTCATTGTGGTCACCTGGAGATTGACCCTGGCCTGGTGGAACTCTGTCTAGTGACATCCCAGCCCTGCGGAGCCGGTCAGACAGGGATGTTCCTACAGTGGAGGACAGCAATGGTTTACCAGCAAGCTTGGCGTCCGTCTCTCACCCTTTCCCTCCCAGAGAGCCAGTTTGGTGTAGGGGTTAAGTGCGCGGACTCTAATCTGGGAGAACCGGGTTTGATTCCCCACTCCTCCACTTGCAGCTGCTGGATGACCTTGGGCAAGCCATAGTTCTGGTAAGAGCTGTCCTTGAAAAAGAGCCGTTTCTGTCAAGAGCTCTCTCAGCCCCACCTACCTCACAGGGTGTCTGTTGTGGGGAGGGGAAGGGGAAGGAGTTTGTAAGCCGCTCTGAGACTCCTTTGGGTAGTGAAGGGCGGTGTAGAAATCCAATCTCTTCTTCTTTTACCTCCCAGGGTGTCTGTTGTGGGGAGGGGAAGGGAAAGGAGTTTGTAAGCCACTCTGAGACTCCGAGTGAAGGGCAGGGTACAAATCCAATCTCTTCTTCCTCACAGGGAGGGTATAAACTGACATTGGATGCCTCTAGATGATCATATTGTTGCACTGTATTGTTTTTAATTGAGAGCCAGTTTGGTGTAGTGGTGAAGTGCGGACTCTAATCTGGGAGAACCAGTTTGGTTCCCCACTCCTCCACTTGCAGCTACTGGATGACCTTGGGTAAGCCGTAGTTCTGTCAGAGCTGTCCTTGAAAGGGCAGTTCTCTCAGAGCTCTCTGAGCCCCACCTACCTCACAGAGTGTCTGTTGTGGGGCGGGGAAGGGAAAGGAGGTTGTAAGCCGCTCTGAGACTCCCGAGTGAAAGGTGGGGTATAAATCCAATCTCTTCTTCTATTGTAATTGTAAAATTGTTTTATTTATTGATGTGTTGGTATAGGTTGCCCACCGCCCTGAGCTCTTTGGGGGAGGGTGGTCTATAAATTGAATCAATCAATGAACTGTAATAGCAGGAGATCTCCAGTTTCTACCTGGGGGTTGGGAACCCTAGACACAAGCCTCCTGATTAAAAGTTCTTCTAGAGTTTAGTGGTTCCGGATCCCTCTTTGGCTTTCCACTTGTAAACGCTATTTTAACTCTCATACATGTATTCATTAAGAGTTTATTACCCATTCTTTAATTCATGCGGAATATCCGGAGTTTACAAAGCACTCCGATCATTATTAATAAGTAAATCTGGACTAGTTCATTAATCAGTGGCAGATGGTTCAGAGAGGCACTGATAAACTAAGGAAGAATGTGAAGAGTTGAGCCAGAACGAGTTTCTTTTTTTGTGCACTGGCTTATAACCAATGAGTGTCAGCATTGGCAGCAGATGGAATTTAATCTTTTGCTCCTGTTTCCCTGTATAGTTTGGAAGCCATTTTTGAACGCATACACCCACAAAGCACAGATAGGTTTCCTGTGTCTATCATT